CTGTATCTCTTACTTGTTAAAGCATTTGTCCAAATCATTTATCTGCCCATGTTTTCTTGAGTTGTGTGTGTATTCTGCAAATATACATTATTTGCAAATATTTTTTTCTTTGTGTGTAGCCTGTCTTGTCAATATTTTAACAGTATCTTTCAAAGAGCAGAAATTCTTAATTTTAATGGAGTCCAATTTATCAATTTATATCCTTGTGGATCATGCTTTTGGAGTCATGTCTAAGAAAGTTTTGACTAATACAATATCATAAACATTTTCTTCTATTTTCATCTACAATATGTATAGTTTTAAGGTTTTATATTTACGTCTATGATCCATGTTGAGTTAATTACTATATATATATGGTGGGAGAGGCATGGATCAAGTTATTTTTTATTTTTATCTTTTGCATATGTATATCCAATTGTTCCACCACCGTTTGTCAAAAACATTCTTCCTCCAGTGAATCTCCCACTTTCATCAAAAACCAATTGATCATATATGTGTCGATCTATTTAGGGATACTCTATTCTGTTTCATCAATGTAATGGTCTACTTTGGTGCCAATAGCACACTCCTTTAATAACTATAGCTTTATAATTAGCCTGAGGCCAGGCAAAATAGTTCTTCCAGCTGTGTTCTTCTTTAACAAAATTATTTTGCCTATTTTAGATCCTTTGCATTTCTGTATGAATTTTTAAATCAACTTGATAATTTCTATTAAAAAAACCTGCCAGGGTTTTGATTGAGATTGCATTTAAATATATGGAGGAGAAGGGCCCCTGGGTGTCTCAGGTGTTTAGGTGTCTGACTTCAGTTCAGCCATATCTCTTGGTCCATGGGTTCAAGCACCACATGGGGTTCTCTGCTATCAGCTCAGAGCCCCCTTCAGATCCCCTGTTCCCCTCTCTCTCTCTGCCCCTCCTCCTCTCTCTGCTCCTCCCCCTCCCCCATGCAGACACTTTCTCTCTCTCAAAAATAAATAAACATTAAAAACAAATAATAAATATATGGAGGAGAATGGACAACATGATGATATTGAGTCTTCTAATCTATGAACACAGTATATCCTAGCATCTATTTAGTTTTTTAATTTCATTTAGCAATGTTTTGTAGTTTTCAGTGTAGAAGTCATACACATATTTTGTCTGATTTATCCTTAAATATGTCATACCTTGGATGTTACTGTAAATGGTGTTTTTAAATTTTAATTTCCAAAATTGCTTGTTGCCAGTATATAAGAATACAACCAATATATGTATATTGATCTCAAGTCCTCAAACTTGCTAAACTCATTTATTAGTTCTAGAAACTTCTTGTATATTTCATAGGATTTTCTACATAGCAATCATGTTATCTGAAAATAAAGATAGTTTAACTTCTTCAGTTCATATCTAGATGTCTTTTATTTCTTTTCCTTTTCTTGTTACACTGGCTAAAAGTTCCAATGCAATGCTGAATAGAGTGGAGTGGACAACTTGGTTTTTTTTCCTCATGTTTCTTGTGCTTGGAAGTTATTGAATTTCTTGGATCTGTGGGTTATAGTTTTCACAAAATTTGGAAATTTTTCAGCTATCATTTCTTCCAATATTTTTTTGTTCCCTGTGTCTTCCTTCAGAGACTCTGATTACTCACAAAACAGGCATTATAAAATCTCATATCTTACTGATAGACTGTTCTCTGAGAAAATAGGCAACAACCTCTTTGACCTTGGCCACGGCAACTTCTTATTTGACACGTCTCTGAAGGCAAGGGAAATAAAGGCAAAAATGAACCATTCGGACCTCATCAATATAAAAAGCTCCTGCACAGCAAAGGAAACAATCGACAAACTAAAAGGCAACCAACAAAAATGGGAGAAGATATTTGCAAGTGACATATCATATAAAGGGTTAGTATCAAAAATCTATAAAGAACTTATCAAAATCAACACCCAAGAAAAATAAATAATCCAGTGAAGAAATGGGCAGAAGAAATAAATAGACACTTTCCGAAAGAAGACAGCCAATGGCTAACAGACACATGAGAAGATGCTGAACATTGCTTATGATAAGGGAAATACAAATCAAAACCACACTGAGATAACCACCTCACACCAGTCAGAGTAACAACTCAGGAAACAACAGATGTTGGTGAGGATGTGGAGTAAGGGGAACCCTCTTGCACTGTTGGTGGGAATGCAAACTGGTGCAGCTACTCTGGAAAACAATGTGTAGATTCTTCAAAAAATTAAAAATAGAATTACCCTACAATCCAGCAATAGCACTACTAGGAATTTATCCAAAGGATACAGGAGTGCTGATTCATAGGGGCACATGTACCCCAATGTTTATAGCAGCATTACCAACCATAGCCAAATTATGGAAAGAGCCCAAATGTCCATCAACTGATGAATGGATAAAGATGATGTGGTATATATATACCATACAAGGTGTGTGTGTGTGTGTGTGTGTGTGTGTGTGTGTGTGT